ATTAATGTCTAGTAAAAAGATCATAAATAAATTGATACTGTATTCTTAGAGATCCAGGGAACATATCTGGCAGTGCACCACAAGGTAAGCAGAGTATGCGAGTTCAAATCTTGCTCCGTGCCGATTCTTTTCTTCCAGACACACCATTTACTGCTACATAGAAGACAAGATATCAATAACTGTACCCAGATGATGTGGTGTCTTACAAATGTGTTAATTTAATGATATGATGAGTATATTTAAAATAAATGTGTAAATATTTAAATATTTTAAACCTTTTATCCCATTTGAATTTTTATCTCACTTAAACTTTTGTTCCAATTTATCTCAATTGAATTTACAATAACAGACTTCTTCTCAGAAACACTGATGTGAGAAATGAACAGTCACAAACAAAACCTTTCTACCAGTGATGAACTTAAACTTCCAAACATTTTTAGCCTTCACCAAGGCCTGTTTCAGGTGCTTAACTAAACTGGCTTCCCACTTGGACCGTTAGAACGATGCTGTCTGGTTTTTAAACATTGTACACATCAAATTTCACCCTTCTGCCTGACTCCATCCAAATTCCTCAAACAGGTATCTCCACACATGCGCAATGGTGCCCCCAACTTTAAAGATAATGCAGTTGCCGTGTAAAGTATGGTTTAGTACTTTACATGATTTTTAAGATGAACTACAACAAAACAGAATGCACTGTACTGAAGAATGCCTTTCATTGCCTTCTATTCTATTGTAATTCATTCTGTTGTATTTCATTCTATTCTATAGTGCATTCTAACCTAACAACCTTAGGTTAACAACCTAACAACAAGCCTTAGGTTAGGTTAGATTAGGGTAGAATATACCCTAATCTAACCTAACCTAAGGCATAGAATGCACTGTGAAAGGCAAGAAATTCTTAATCTGATACCTAACTTTCTGATAACTTTCTTATCTTTGGTCTCCAGTCCATAAGTAGAGTATTGTTGAACTCGTCTCGGTCCCTGAATTCAGATATATACTCAAAGTCCCAAAATTCAACTGGGAGTAATCTATATAACATCCATTTAAACTACCATGTGAAAATATCAACTAACATTTAAAACACCATTTAAAACCGATAATGATTGCATATCAGCTATACATTGAAGCCAATAACATACAAAGAACTTAAAAGCATACATTTACCCAAAGATAACAACAATAGCCAAACTCTAATTATAACAAGTGAAGTTTTATAAGTTTCAAGCCATGCCTATTTAATAAAATAAACAACTAATAAAAATCTACATAAATACAATAAGTGAATTCTATAGTAATATGTTTATCGTGAAAATTGCTTATGATTAATAAACACAGTCTTATCTTTAATCAGTAAAGTTTATATGTGAAAAATCTAAGCCACAGATTTTATAATACTTAAAAATACTTTAATAGTGCATTCACCCATACACTTCCATTTATGCAAATGTTAGTCGCATCACATATCCCACTTTTATCTCCACATACACCATAGTACATCAGCACGCCACATTATTTATCCACATTCCTCCGAAAAGAATCGGTAACGAAGCCGACAGACCACGTCACTCTTTGCCTTCGGGCAGGATTTAGATCTATAGTCTCTCGTAATCTGGCATTCTCACTAATCCGAGCAAAGAAAGATCGGATTAGCAATCGACAAACATACCGAGACGCAATCGATTTTAACACCAAAAACTTTAGTAATGCCACCGTGACAAATTACTCGGCTTTAAAATAAAGTAAAATCGACATCACGCCACAGCTCTATGGCGACCCGAGCAAATTCGAATTAGAGGGCCCCACGTACTGCATCCACTTCATTTTTCTTCGGGAGAATTTTTCGGCATATTGTTTAAAATACCAAAGATTGGTTTGGGGGCCCCTAAACAATTGCCATTTTTGTCCATAGGCTAACGCGCCAGAGTAAAATATCAGAAAATTGGCAAGATTGGCTCCGAACGAGGAGGGTGGAGACCTCTCAGGTGGTCTCCATTTAAATTTGGAGTATCCTCTTAAATTTCCATTTGAAAGATGAAAAAAAAATTATCATAATTGCTTTATCATTAAATTAATTATGATTTAGAACTTTAATATACTCTAAATAAATACTACATACACAGCTTCAGCAAAACAAATTGACAATTTGAAATATAAAATCACAATTGATTATAAGCCATCAGATAGAAACTTTGGTGATTTTTCTTTTTTTTCTTGAATATCGTAAAGTCCCGTGCATTAAAAACTTCATAAAAACTCAAATAACTGGAAGGGTTAGTAATAAATTAAGAATGTACGTTTAAAGTGCATTTTAAATTTTAAAAAAAATATGAAAACAATCGTTTTACCTCTGCAGCCGATCTTCAGCAGTGCAGACAACTAAACACGCATCAGCGCCACCTCGTTTTCTTTTATTTACTTATTTATTTGTATTTTTGAGAAAAATTGTCGTCTGCTATCGTCCGATATTATTGTGATTTAGCGACTCGTATGTTGTTTATACGAAGAAGATTTAATAAAAATTTTTTAAACTGAAATATAATTTATAATATCATTATTTTAAAATTTTGATTAGTAAAACATTTACATATCGTTATCCTATAGGCAAAACGGAATTTGACGGCCGGATGGCCGAGCGGTTAAGGTTCACCGCATAGAAAGACCCGGGATCAAATTCGGACGGGTGGAAAAATCCCCAGGAATTTTTCGGGGGTGGTTCTTCCGGATATGTCGGATCCCGTCCCTCACCACCTGGCCGTTCCATTGTGGGCCTGGCCGAACCCATAATCAGCTTGCTAAAAGAGGTCCTTAGTGTCCACTGGGCGAAAGAAGTTTAAAAAGAAAAAAAAAAGGCAAAACGGGAAATTGTTTGTGGCCCCACCAAACGTTGGTCCCAAACTTGTCTGTTATAAACTCGTTACTGTAAAAAGATTATTGAAATTTAAATTTGGCGCCATATCTAGCCACTCTAGATTGCAGGTGTGGCGCTAGATTTTTTAAGTTCTGCACTCACCGGTGCTCCCTGCGCCTGGCTCGCCGCTGAACTAAATATACCGGAAGAGTATGGTAACTGTATTATAAATTTACTAAATACCTACTTAGATGACATCGACGGATAAGGGCATACTATTTTTAAGGAAGAATTGACAGTTTATACAATTTGCAAACCAAGAAAATTTAAACTCTCCTTCATTGATAAATAGAGGGATTCGAGGAAGACTAATGTTCTACCTTTCCTAATGTGGACATACAGTAATTTTAAAAAATGTATTAGTCAATTCCTCTTTCCGATGCATCAATGTAGCGATCGTTCAATAACCTGAAAAGAATTAAAAATTATATTCGAAATTAAACCGAACAAGAAAAATTATATAATTTTGCAATGTTATGCATCCAGGAATGAAATTTCAAATAGAGTTGATTACAATGAAATGTTGACAATTTCTTGACTCATAAAGCACGAAAAATAAACATATAATAAATTTTGTTTATTCATTCCTTTATTCTGTCTTGTAAGTTTTCTTTAAACTTTTGTTGTAATTGAAAGTTTTTCATGGACAGTGTTGAATCCAATAGGCTACCGAAGGATCCCCTAAAAAATCCTCGAAGAAAAATGCTTGAAGACGATATTGTACTGTACATGGAATCCCTAATATAAATTTTCCTTGTCTCCGTGAAGTTATAACTCGCCGCTGTTTTTAATTTTTGAAATGGTTCTGTGGATTTCATTAAGGTATGTTGTCACATAACGATACTTTTTAATACAAAACTTTAAAAATAAGGCTTACTTCCCACAAGATACGAAGTAAGCGTTAAAGTATTATTTGTCTTGGAAGCAAAAATTATATATCATTTGATGATAAAAATTTTTAAAGGAATAAATTTTATTTTATTTATGAAAACACTTTATTTTTGTTTAAATACCTTAAATTTGAATGCTAAAATATTATTTTAAAATTAATTCCAATGCATTCCATTGATTTTGAGGAGAAAAGTACTAATATACATATTTAAAATTTTTAATTTATTTATTTGTGAAAGATTAACTGAAGCATATATCATTACATTCTATAAATACAAATTATAATTTCGTCTTGTGGAATCCAAATTCGAATCCTGTCCAGGTCCTCATAATTTTATCATAATTTGTTAGGATCAAGGTGCCATTCTTAATCTTTAATTAATGCTGACAACTGTATTTTGAGAGGTAATCAATCTGGAATATATAGGCTCTCGATCTTCACCACACGATCGCCTCATTGCGAACCTGGCGAATCCATAATGGACATAAAGAAGAAGATGCTCCTAGTGTTTATAGGCGAAAAGGAATAAAAATAAAATTATATTTGGTAGTTATATAGTTTCTTACCATCATGCATTTTATTTGTAATTCGTTTTTTAAAAAATACATAATTGATAGAAATTTCTAAAGCGCATAGAATCATTTGGTGCCGACCATATAAAAAACGCTATAAACAAAAACCGATAGGACAACTTATCGACTCTGCACCGTTCGGGCAGCATTGCCTACGCTCGGTTTCTTCGTAGTTTCAAATATTCCAAATTCTCTGGAATATCAAAATAATGTAAACATAAGCTATAACGTTTCATGTGCGAAAAGTCACGCGATTAGCACTTTGGCGCTTTAAACATTAAGACTTCACATAAATTCAACTTCAAAATACAACCACTTACACCATCACTATTGCCACAATATTTTTTGCAGCAGAAAACATTGCGCTTAGAATTCAGTTCTTCAATAAAACGTATTTAGAGAAAAATGGCATATACGTTATGACATTCGCACGCTTCATATACAGTACAGTATATATATATATATTTATTATTCGAAGATTCATTAATTTATTTAATAAAATTATTAATCTATTAAAACTTTTTAATTTAAAAATTAAAAATCCATTTATTCATTTTTAATGATTTTAATAGTTTAGTTAATTTTTCCGATTTTTTCAGATATTTTTCTTTTTGACCTAAAGGTGGCGTTTTCGCTAAAATGGCGTCTGCGAAGAAGATAGATGAGGGTAACGAGTGCATTAGAGAAGCAGAAAAACAGTAAGATCCGTTTTATATTATTGATTCATCCATATATTTATTTTAAATTGACTATGGTAATAATTTAAATAGATGTATGAACAGAAATGCCAATGTTTAAGCTTAGTTTTGCACTATGAACTTTCATCATTATGTCAACAGTTAGATGAAAGATAAATTGATTCTAAAATAAAATTTGATTGAAAATGATTTTTAAAAAACTCTTTTTGAATCATTTTAAATGATTGAATACGCATTAAACGATAGAAGTTAACTTTAAATAATCTGTATTTACATACATGCATATAGAAATTATCTAAAAGTCACGCCTACTTAATAAAGTAATAAACTGATTTATAAATTTTATTAACTAATTTTCATGCTTTCAGATATTTTTTTACGATTGTAGATCCGAATAACACTGTTTAAACTTTAACGGAGCTGTAGACCATATCTGTAGGAGCAAAGAAGGCAAAGAAACCGTATCTCTGTGCGACCCTGAGTGCGATATGGCTTCCCAAAATTGCCCTGCCTTTGGGGTGAAATTGGGAGTTGTACGGTACCATGCATTCCACTAAGACCGTCACATTTAACTATGTGTCCGCGTGAATGTGCCGGCTTTGAGTGGCCCGCTTAACTGTTTGTGAAATACTTGATGTTATATAGTCTTAGGGAGTGTGGAGACTGGTCCCATTCTTGCAAGATACGAGCGATAGTGAGCACCAAAGTGTGTGAGTGGTGTAGAGCGATGGCGAGCCTTGACCAATACGGACTGTGGAGAATAGACGGTGGTACTGGTTGAAGGTAAAAACAGTTTTCAGTTGGTAGAAGTTAAAGCATTTATTATTTATGTTATAGGTATGGCAACCCGTGCCTGTAACATAAATACCCGTGCTTGTAAGAGTGACGTTTACAAGCAAGATGGCGACTGGATCTGCTGCCACATTTGGAGGCAAATATCTCACGAAGAGTTACATGTAGAAGTGTAGTTCCTTTGACATTTTTGTTTCTTTTGATATGTCTGTATCTCTGTTAAGGTCCCAGTGGTGTCATTCACATGTGAAAGTTTACCAATTTTTCAATAAATTCAAATAATTTTCTGTAAACTTAATTTATTACTTTCCAGGCTGTTATATATATAATGGAAGGAAAGTATGGTAATCAGTAAAAAAAATGACCTCCCCAAGATACTTTGCATTTTTGCACTTGGGAAAACCTGGAAACATCAAGAAATGCAAAAAATTTTCATGGCTTTTGTATGTATGGATGTTAGTATGTGTGGGGGGGGGCATGATTTTGTTTGCCCTCTTCGAAGCTTAATAATTCCTGTGCTTTTTGTCAAAAATTGCTGAAATTTTGCAGGGAGGTTTATGTATTAAGATAATTGATGGTATTAAATTTTGGTAATTCAAGGTCTAAAGAATGGGGAGATAAAGGGGGTTGTGTGTTGTACTTGAGTAGGGTTGGACTTAATGATGATTTTACTTGTTATTAGCATTACAATTTTTTTTATAAAACCCATCCCTATCTTCTAAATTAAACTGCCTAAATTGCCATTTTATAATAATTAAAAGTATAAAAAGTATTTAATAATAAAATAAAATATAACAGGTGGTAGGTGGCACACATAGTGTTAAATTTTTCCAGGAAAGTTAACCAAATAGTTGCTTTGCTTTATTTTTTTCAACATTTAGGTAAGATTTCCAATACCAATGAACTAAAATCATTAGCTCCTCAATAGGTTTTAAGTCTTCTGTAAAATAACTAAACACATTTCACACTTATATATTAGAACACCTTAATTTTGCTGAGAATTATATATTTTAAACACAAACGCTTTCAACCTGATTAACAGGCCATCTTCAGGTCCAAAAAACGAAAATGGAACAGATACGTTCCATGTATAGAATATACATATTTAAATCAAAATTTAGAACAAAAATTTTAAAAAATATACAAGAGAAACGGAATAAAATATAAAAATAACACAAAATAAAATTAAAATATACAAGAGAATATATAAAAATAACACCAAATAAACTAAAAAATAAAAAATATATAATAAATATAATAAATCTTCCAATAAACTAATTCTAGCTTGAGTTTTCAGTGAACTTTTTAATCATGTATTTCCACGCCGACGACAGGCTCTCAGCATCTCTCGCATTTAAACATCCCTCACGTAGCCTACTCCTATATATTTCAATCTTCTCCGCCGTCATTGATAAAGTGGGGGAAGACACTGGTTTTATAATTGTTGCCTCGTCCCATTTCACCACCGAACCTTGGACTTGCGACATTTGTGACAAAACCGTGGCATTGGATCCTTTTTTTACGTTATACCGATGTTCTTTTAGTCTTACTCCTAAGCTCCTGTTGGTGACGCCGATGTAGTCTTTCTTAACATCTAGTTGGATGTTTTCATAAGGAACTTTATAGACACCTGGTTTTTCTTCTGTCTTTATTCTATCCTTATCATTTCTCAATATCTTATATAAATTTGGGGCTCTTTTTAAAACTATTCTTGCTTGTTTCTTATTAGCAACTTCTTTCATAATACTGTTCAAATTACTNCAAGTCCAAGGTTCGGTGGTGAAATGGGACGAGGCAACAATTATAAAACCAGTGTCTTCCCCCACTTTATCAATGACGGCGGAGAAGATTGAAATATATAGGAGTAGGCTACGTGAGGGATGTTTAAATGCGAGAGATGCTGAGAGCCTGTCGTCGGCGTGGAAATACATGATTAAAAAGTTCACTGAAAACTCAAGCTAGAATTAGTTTATTGGAAGATTTATTATATTTATTATATATTTTTTATTTTTTAGTTTATTTGGTGTTATTTTTATATATTCTCTTGTATATTTTAATTTTATTTTGTGTTATTTTTATATTTTATTCCGTTTCTCTTGTATATTTTTTAAAATTTTTGTTCTAAATTTTGATTTAAATATGTATATTCTATACATGGAACGTATCTGTTCCATTTTCGTTTTTTGGACCTGAAGATGGCCTGTTAATCAGGTTGAAAGCGTTTGTGTTTAAAATATATAATTCTCAGCAAAATTAAGGTGTTCTAATATATATGTTTACTTGCTGAGCACGTTTAAGGTCACATTTCACACTGCTTTCCAACATAGAATTTTAATGAAACAAATGTTTTTGGTTCTTTTTAAATTTGTTTTGTAATGGTAAATCTGAAGATGGCCAGAAGCAAGTCAAAAGCATTTGTTTGTTTATTAAATTTTCATACTGGAAAGGTGTGAAAAGTGTGTTTTGGTGTTTTCTTGATCTGGAGCAGTTCCAGCTTGGACAATTAATGATATTAAAAAAAAATTGAAGCATATATAGGTTTAGGAAATAATGCCTTAAAATGCTGTTAATCAGTAACAAATGTGAATAATATGTCTTACTTATAGAAGATAGTGTGTTAAAATTTTTCTTTTATTAGTTTTTTATTGTAGTAGAGTATTATTTTTGTGATGACTCATTTGTATCAATACAATATTAAATTGTTTTCAAGTAGATAAAGACTGAATGTCTAGAATTTAACTTTGTTTTGTTTGAAGTATAGGCTTCCTTCCTATATGTTTTGCGCAACTGATGGAGACCTCTTGCGATAAAATAGTGAACTTTGTAGTTGCAAACAACAGAGATATGACTGAGCTAACATGACAAATTTGGTGAATTTTTTTTCTGGAATAAAGAGACAAGATATTTGTAGCATGGTAGGATGTAATACTTCTTACAGTAATACCACAGTAGTAGTTTTTATTTTTCAGAATGAAAAAAGACCCAGTTAGAAGAAAGGCAAAAATTAATGCTGTACAGATGCTTTTTTTTATGTTTGTCTTCATTAATTATAAAAGCATTCCTAAGTATATAAGAAATAAACAATAATGTCTGTCACTGTCTCTGATAATGCCATCTGGAGAACAGCATCAGCCATGGCATTTCTAGGCAGTGCACTCTTTATTGACCATATAATATATATAGAGTTTTCTATCAGTATATTATATTTGAATCAGCTAGAGATATGTATTGGTTTGTTTTCCTGCAGCTTCTTCTTGTCCCAAAAACTCTGGTTAAGTCTTATTGCTTGTTTGTATTCTTCTTTTTTTAAAGTTGCTGGTTTATTCCAAGTTTGCGGTAAACTACTTCTTGGTTCTATTTTTTCTTCACTAATAAAAAAAGTAAGACGTGCTGCATGCTTGCATCTACCAAGAAGACCAGCCCTGCATGAGCAAAAGGCGTTAATCATTTTCCATTGGTCATTAACCTGAAAAAATAATATATGGCCATTGACTTAATATGTTTATGTTGATTCTTTTATCAGTTCCCTTACGTTATATGTTAATGACAGCAAATCTTTCTTCTTTTGCAATAAACATTAAAGAGATTTTTAAAATTTTTGCATTAATATTTTTATTTTAAACATAAAACCCATTTTTATAAAAATGTATCAGTACAAATACATTTTTATAAAATTAAATTTTAATTATATTTTAATTAAAAAATGACTAAAAGAGATGTAATATAGATGATTAGCTTTCCTTTGGGCAACTTGTACTAGAATTTGTTATCTAGATTTATGTACAGTATGTGCATGCGTGGAATACATTTACCAAAAACTGTATATTTTTAATATTTTGAGTAACTTTATGAAAATGGCCTGTTTATTTTAATTTTTTCCCTGCTCTAATGTATTTTCTACATTTTGTACAAAAAAAATTATCTTGAAAAGTGACAGGAAATAAAATTATTTCTTAAAACTATGTTCATTGCACTATGTAAGTACTTGTTTGTAACTACATTTTTCAAATTTCTACCACACAAAGAGTATTGCACTTAATTTTTTAATTGAATTTTCTAATTATTTATTATAAATTTTCTCAAAATTTGACTCTTTTGTATCTTTCATTCAGTTAATGTGTTTTGAACTTTTTAATGAAATTTTAGAATTAAAAAAATTTTCAAAAAATATAGCAGTTTTATTAATTTCATGTAATTAAGGATTATTCTTGGAGCCAGAATTATAAAGCTCCTGTTATGATATGCTCCTGCCAGAGTGAAACATCAAGCTAATGTGTTATAAAAGAGAAAATTGGCAAAGTTAAGTTTAACTTAAAAATGAAAAATAATATTAAAAAAATGTTGAGAGCATTGATCATCTTATTGTAGAAATTTGAATTATTTCCAAGTTTTCTTCCCTGGAATGTTAGATGTCAAAATTTTGAATTTTCCAAAATATTTGTTATACTATCAAGAAAGAAATTGATATAAGTAAAGAATTAATCCAAATAAATGAGGATAAAATCAGCAGAATAAGTGAAATAAAGTATCTGGGAATAGTTATGGATGGAAATCTCTGCTGGAAAAGACAGATAGATAATATTGCCTTGTCTCTTGCCAGGTTCACTGGAATAATAAAAAATTCAGGTATCAAATGTGATCAATGCTGTTGATGGACTGATAATAGGCAAATAGACAGCAAGTGTACAGTTGAAGAGAAGTAAGTCATGTCCACAATCTAACATTCACCAATTCCTTGACTATTTGTTAGATACAGTTTAGGTTAAAAGTATTACAGTATTTGTATGTGTTGAATATATATAGCAAAGCTTCTATGAATTACTAGAGGGGCTTTGCTCCCCTGGCTGCCTAAAGTGACTAAACTCCCTGCTCACTTTGTCCACTTGTTTCCAATAGAGACTATTTATAAAGTTTAAAAAATGTATATATCTTCATTTGCTTAATGCCAAGTGAAAATTCCATAAAAGTTCTAACAAAACTATTAATACTAAATTCTGCTATATAGTTACAGTAATTAGGTATAGGTTTTGCTTGTAGATTACTGTACAATGCCTGGTAGAAAAAGGACAAAAAAATAAGGATGTCACAAAGGATAAAGCAGAGTTTTTACTTACCCTAAAGCTACCGATTGCTTGTTTAATCTGTGGTTAAAGTGTGATTGTTTAAGATAAGAAGTCATATTTTATACTATGTATAGACTAATAGTTTTAATTTTTGCTTGTGTTGTATGTTGTTAATTTTTAGTAATTTTTGTTTTTACTTACCATATACTATTTTCAAACATCAATTATTGAAATGTTCTAATTCAGTTATTAACCCAAGGAAAACCAGTTAATGAGTCCAAAAACTCTAATTAAAAAGTGTTGCTGGGAAATAAAGATATTAGTCTTCAAAGAAATAACACGTAAATGTAATTTTTAGTGAACAACAGGTACTGGTTCAACATTTTCAGCCACAATTTATCGGCCTTTATCAGCAAGAATACAAAAACAGTTCTATTAATCAAACATTGCAGTGTTCCAATGTTTGAACAAGACAGTGACACATAGTTACATTGTAAAGTACTATATTATTTTTCCGACTTTTCCAACGATTATCGACACTACTGTGTGCCGGAAATAGCCATTCCCTAATGGGTACTTTACGCGGATTCGCGTTAGTGTGCCAGGCCTGGACTTTAAGCGTGCACCGAATTAAATAATGACAAAGTTTGTCAATAACAAAAATCAAATATTTAATTAAACTTCTAGTAATAAACTATATACAGTATTTAGTAAAAATCAAACAATAATTTATTCAATGAAATTCAACAAGAATCAACCCGACAAAACTCAAATCAATCTATTTCTAACTTAATTCTATTCCCCTTTGGAAAACACGTACACTGAACCAATATAATGTGTGGTACGATCGACCTCTTCTAGATTCTAGAAGAAGTTCGAAAACGTTTGTTTTTTGTTTCGTCGATCGTACCACACATTATATTGGTTCAGTGTACGTGTTTGATATATAAGTGTGGTGAGTTGTGAGTTTTTTATCCCCTTTGGAATTTGACAAAAATCAAAGACTTAAATTTATAAACAATATTTCTTATAAATTAAAGATCCTAATCGTCACCTCAATATACTAGGAACCTATTTTTTCAGACTCTCAAGACTTTCTATAATCGTCGATCCATAAATCGAATAACTTCAAAATCGCCTTGGAACTATTTGATCCTATCGGACACCTCTCTCAATCACTGCTACGAAGCTCACCAAAGCTCGTCGCTATCAGGAATTCACCTCGTTCATCTTCACTTGAGACTTGGGATTCATAGTGTGAGGTGACGTCACAATTCTGAATGAGATCACTCTCCTCATTTACATACTTAACGCTAACAATAAACTTTTTTCGTTTCTCTGGCAGCCTATTTACGACAATTACTCGTTAACCTTTTACATTATTCTTTTTCACAATTTTCGGGACGTTTTTATTCTTTAAAGTTTAGCGAGTCCCTAATTCGTGCTTGTGGGGTCTCCCCCCTTTTCTCGGTGCGGACTTACTTTTTTCCGCTCGGGAAGCGCAAGTGTGCGCGAGTTTTTCTACGGCGCTTTTCTTTCGTCGGTGAGTTGGTTTTTCTTTTATTTTTAAGTTACTAAGGTGAATGGTGAGGAAACCTTTGTCCTAACAAAACATAAGCCCCAAACAAAAATAGAATAATAAGCAAAATAAAAGTAAATAAAAATAACGCTCGGACTTTGGTTCCTTACAACATCATAAATAAATAAGCAATATTTTTACAAGGTATAATTTAAAAATAAAATTAAATTTTGTGGAAGTCTAAATAATATTTCCAGGCTTGTGGTACTGGAATACAATCTTGAGTTGATGCAATTTTCATTCTTGTCAGCTCTATAAATTTCTAAGGCCTCTAATGATTGTATGTCATGTCAGTCAACATTGCAATAAAGAAAATAAATATAACAGATTTGCAGTTATTTCTTAGTTGACTGACTACTAAACATCTTTTATGATAAGCTGTTACAGAAGCTGAAGTATTTTTGACAGTTTTTAGGAATTTTTGAATATATTTTTAAGTCTTTGAGAATAATTGACCACTTTATTTTTTTACAACATGTAAACTTTTAGTTTGGTAACTTTTGAGTTAAAGAAGCAGCACCTGCAAATGTAATACTCTGACTTTTGTATCAGGCTATAATAAAAGGTGTGGAAAATTAGGAAAGTTTCTGTAAGTGAGGTCATTAAATTTCATTGTATTTATGCTACTTTATTTTTATGATTTCACAATACTAAATAATCTATCAAACAAAATTTATGTTTACAAAATATTAATAATATATGTATTTTTCTTTTTATTTAAATAGTGTAATGATCGAAATTTTCATTTAGTATCAGAATAATAATAATATCAAAATAGTAATTTTAATTTAATTATTATTTATATGAAGTATTTTGATCAAGTTTAATGATTTTAAAAATTCTTTTGACAGTTTAAAAACTTCTCTTTTTAAATGGAAGCCTGATTATGACAGTGCTGCAAATGAATATTCAAAAGCAGGTAAGAATTATATTTGAAATAAGTCAAGTCTTGATAATAAAAAAAATAGTAAATTTTATGAATTTAGTTCATAGAGAATATTAATAAAATACTGCATTTCTTCGGATCTAAGCCAATGTAATTCCATTTGCTTTGCTCACATTATCTGTTTGCCCAAGTGTGCATTTACCTTGCAGATGCACATGACTGAAGTGAGAATAACAAGATCAGATAAGCCTAAAGTTTGTTAATTTACAGATAATCAGTTATTCACTGCTTACTATTCTGCAATTTGGCACACTGGCAAGCTTTTTTGTCAAACATAAGACTTAGAAACATTAAAATGTGAATAAATGTGCATTTTTGAATTATGGAAATACAGTATTGCATATTTACTGAACTTTATACAGTCGACCCCATTATAACACTGTTGATAATTCCGTTTTATATGAATTCCATGTTGTACGAGTCACTTAGATTTTACAAATATGTGAGCCATTCACAGCCCGGCGCACGTATTTGTAAAATCTAAGTGACTCGTACAACATGGAATTCATATAAAACAGAATTATCAACAGTGTTGTTGGGGGGTCGACTCTATATTATTTATTTTATTTTTTTCCTCTATTAATAAATACAATAAGTACATAAATATTTAAATCATTAAGCATCATTAAACAAAGCCAACTCTTCTGGTATTAAAAACATTTTTACTTATCATAGTTTATAAATTTCTGTTCAACTTCAGCTAAATTAAATAAATTTTGTACCATTTTAGAATAATAGAATAAATACAAAATAATATAATTGAAACTGGAATTTATGTAATATTTCGGAATTGTTTTATTAAAATAAAGAAAGAAATGTGTTGTGCTTCATAACAAATAAAAATTTATAATTAACTGTGGAGCTCTTACTTACCATTATGTAAATATTCTTGTCCATGTGCAGTACTTTCAGGATTTAAATGTTTAATATAATTCTGCAAAATAACATGTGCTTGGAGCAGATTACAAGTAAATAAAAAGAATCTGCAATTATTGCATTTAGTTTTATATCTGTAAATACACAACACTTGGTCACAGAAAAGTTTCTACTCTTATATGGTGTTAAATGAGTATGAATTGAATTTAGATGATTATTTTATAAGTTGAAAGTTTAATAAGACAAACTAGTAAAGTCTTCTTGCTTGTGCCAGCATATTATTGTCTTTAAAATTGATTGCAATGCCTTTCTTGTACACACTATAAATTTTTAGCTTTTTCAGATTTCAAACATTTACTCAGTTTTTTTGAACAAAATAATAGAGAGGCTTGGTAAAAGAGTGGATGTTTTTCATGCTTTATTCCTGGACTAAAGTAAATGCTTCATAATATGGCTTCCTATGACCCCATGATTGTATGCATATTCTGCTGCACTATTGGTAATGTTATAGGATGTGTTAATCAATTTTAAAGACAATAATATGCTGGCAAAAGCATGGAAGACTTTACAAGAAGTCCACCAATAATCCAGCAATAAAGTTAACAGTCATAAATTCTGTCGAATCAAGAGAAGACAACTGTAAAATTTAAAAAACTTCCATTTCGGCAGTTGATTTCATTTCCAAATGTAACCTGTTGATGGTAATTTATGATTACAAAAAACATTAGTTTATCTTTAATAAAATATAAACTATTTTATTTTTAACTCCGTGATTGTAATTTTTGTGGACTGTCAACTGGAGCGAACGACGGATGAACAAACGGAAACAAAGTATTGTTAAACGTTGTAATTTTATATTTTTATATTTTATTAAATGTAATACCGTCGGCCATGTTAATATTTATTATTTTCTTCAAAAAATTAGTTTATCTTGTTAAACTTCCAACTTTACTTTTAAAATTGCTGGAGTTTGGTTTTGTAATTTAGTATTTTAGTAAATTTCATTGGGAATTAATAGATTGCAAAAGAAAATTTAGTTCAAAAACTTCTGCTAGGGGATGCTGATATCATGACATTCTCTAACTTTAGCGACAGTGTCTTGTGTTTGCAACATTTATGCAGGATGGTATGCCCCTCCCCATATTGGCTACAATGCAAAGTAGGTTTTGTGCCAACATTTCACCCATTGCTGGATGATTAATTGCTTGTTTCCAATTACCTATCTACCATGTTATCCAGATCTGAATTTATATGATTTCTTATTGTAGAATCATTCAAAGAATATGGTTTATCATGGAAATGTTACAACTTTGGCAGGCTTAAAGAATCATATTACACTGCACATGCAAAGCATTACTTGAGAGTAATTCAGCTGTAGAACAAATGTTCATTGTCTTTGAATTTTACACCTGAAAAATGGGGTAGACATTGAGTAACATTCCTTACATCAGTAAACAGCCTCTACAGAAGGCATATCCCTTGCAGAATGAATAAATGCATTTTTGTTGTTTTGTTTTTCATATTTTCTTGCAAATTTCCCCTAGCAGAAGTTTTTGAACAAATTTCTTTTGTAAAATCATTTTCCACACCCATTGCTTAGTCTGTATACAAATTTTGATGTCAGTCATAAAGCAGCTAACATACTAAGAAACTTTTTAATGAAATAATAATTAATTTTTATTCTAAAATGTAATGAATGAATAAAGTGCTTTCATTGAACTTTGAATTTCTTTTAATAGATTATAATTACATTAATTATCTAGTTGTGAATTGATACAGTCATTATTTATAGAATTTAAGCAAACATTGTTTAATACTTTAATTATATCTATTCATAGCAACTTGTTTCAAGACCGTCAAGGCATACGAGCAGTGTAAAGACGCATTAATGAGAGCTGCTGATTGCTATGCAAAAAACAGATCGTATCCTTCTTACAAGGGTTTATGTGCATTTAAAAATTCTTTTATTTCAGATTATTTCTTAACTAAATGAAAGATATTTTTCTGCTGCTAAGTAAGTAGATTTTATTAAATAAATTTTAAAAACTGTCTTGCTTTTTACTATATCGGCACCTTCTTTTTAATAGGAGTTATGAACAAGCAGCATTCGTCTGTAAAGACATGGAAGATTATCCAACAGTGATTCACCTGATTCAGAGGGCATGTCAATTATTTCGTGAACATGGAACTCCCGACACTGCTGCTATAGTGTTAGAAAAAGGTGCTAAGTAAGTTTCTCCATAATGATGATTATATAATCTACTTAAATATATATAGTTCTGCAAATTTTAAATGTTTAATATTTTTAGAATGGTGGAGAATAAATTACCTGATAGAGCTATTGACCTTTATAATAAAGCAGCCGAAGTAGCTATGGTAAATTCATTAAATTTTAAGATCTTATTTTCTACAGTGAAACCTGCTAGATTATCTCTTTTACTAAATAAAAAATTTAAGTTTTAAGCATGTTTTTTATAATATTTTTTAATAAAAAATAGTTACGTAACAATTTTGAAAGTGCACTGTTTGCAACTCTGCTTCTTTCTTTTATGATATTTATGCTGTTGTTTGCAATATAAAAGTTTACCTTAACTTTGGACAATGTAAAAGCTACAGATTACTGAATACTAATAAGTAATTCACAACAAAATATAGTCCGAAGATAGGCATAACATGTTACAACCTTAATTTAATTACTCTTACAAAATTATTATTATATACAGTCGACCCCCCTATAACGTACGTTCCTATAATGACAATTCCTATAACGTAGCGAAAAAATTGTAGCAACTTTCGTATAACGTACCTCCTATAACGTCGTTTCGCGACAAGATTGATAGAGTCTGGACCAATAGTGGATGAGCAGCCGAACTACTTTCCTCCGACCCTGCGCCACGCTACGGAGCGGCTAAATTGAGTTTGCTATCGTCTGTTTAGTATTATATATAAATTATATATAAATTAGGTACTGTACATATAATTATATATTAATTATATATAAATTAGGTACTGTATATATAATTATATATTAACTTAATTTATTGTAACTTTATTATAATTATATATATGCTTTCTGCCGCCTGGCAACACGCTACGGAGATTTTAGGCTAGTAAGTTGAGTTTATTATCGTCTGTACAGTATGTAAATTAGGTACCGTAAGTCTAATACAGCACTAATTTTATACATTTCTTGTGAAAGAAACACTTCTTATTCAACGGCCATAAAAATTATTTATATTAATGATGTCTCCAAAGGTCAAGTTATTTTTATGCAAAAAATTCGTTATTAGAAATTGCAGCCACCGTTTAATGTGCTGTTCCGCGATGAAAACCAGCTTTAAGCAACGGCGTAGTCGAATGGTAATTTTTTGTTTATAGCATAGTTTATACGGATTACTCCCAAAAAATTATAAGTGTTTTGGAAATGTTGAGTCGAATTAGTCTAGAATCGGTTAATTTTATAGAAGAAAACCTTTTGAACAGCCTTAGTCCGTAAAGTTCCCACCTCGGCTGGGATTGGATATCGGGCTGCGATTGGATCATGTATTTAATCATTCCTATAACGTAAAATTCGATTAGCGTGGAACGTATCTAAGCGTTATAGGGGGGTCTACTGTATTACAATAATTCATGTTAGAAGGTTGCTTAGCTTTGGCAATAATTCAAAGTTATGGTGAACTGAACTATTTGTGTAGTGTAATTGTGCATGCTTATGATTTATAGTTTGTAATATTTTTGTAAATATAAAATTAAATCTATCTCATATAACAAAGCATATCTTTGAACGACTGGTTCCATTAAAAATTAGAAAATTCTTGAATCTTTGCTATTTTTATTACCCACCAAAAGCATGAAAATTATCATAAATTTATTATTGTTTTATTTATTATTGAAAATATAAATGTTTTGAAGGGACTTGGCTCTAGCTTTGGATGAAATTTAAATTATACAGTATAAAATATAACATAAAATTCATTAGCTTGAAGAATAGCAATACTTGCTCAGATTTAGAAGTACAATTTTTTTTCTTTTGTGAGAAAAATATTTCATTTATTGAATACTTTTATTGCATTTTATTTTACTTGATCTATCAAATATTTCAATTATTAAAATGTTCAATTAAATTGAAAAAAACACATGAAATTTGTAATTTTATGTTGTTGTGAATGAGATTTTTTCCTAAAACATTAAAGTTTAAACGAAACGTCTTTTGATATTTAAATGATGAGAATGATTCTTTAGAGTTTTTCTAACAAGTTAGATTGCCATTTGTCTAAATTCTCTCCATTAATATTCAATTATTGTCACACTAATCTTTCAAAGTTCAAATAATTGTTCCTGACTTTGAAGGATTAGTTTATTACTTATGTAGAGAAATAAGTAATATTTTTAAAATGTTATACATGGTTTCTTTAGAGAATTTAAAGTATCTCTTAATCAAGTAATCATTGACAAGGGTGAGGATATTGTTGAACGTTTTTCTGTAATATACTATACTTCGCCTTACTTAGTTATCATCATCTAAACTTAAGTTACAGACATTTGAGCATGACTGTTATACACAATATGTAAAATGTTCATTTCATTATTTCTTTATCAGATAATTTTGAGATATTCTTAAGTAAGTTTCACTGTACCACAAACAATTGTACTGTTTTTTTTTTTTTTTTTTTACCAATAGCTAGAAGATCGCCCTCGTCAAGCTGCCGAATATTTATGTAAATCTTCAAGATTATTATTAAAGTATAGACGGTGAGAAATATTTTAAATAAATACACTTGAAGCATTAAAAATAGGAAATCTGTATAAATAACTATTTCATTCTAGTTATGATGAAGCAGCAGAAAACATGACAAGGGAATATGAATATAATCTGCAAGGAGACAATCCGGCCGCAGCTGGAAGATTAATAGTTGCTCTTGTGTTAGTCCACTTGACAAGAGAAGATTATGTTGCTGCCAGTAAAATCTACAAAGAAGGAGGAGGGTAATTTATTTTTCAATATTAAGTTTAGGCACAGATTGATATATATGCTGATGTCATCATTTAGCACAGGATAAAATTTTAATTAATTTAATTACATTTTATAAAGAAAGTTTTTGTTTATAACACTTCTAGAGAATTTAATAACTTGAGTGGTAATCACACTTTACTTTTGCATTTGTAAGTTATGATTGGTATTGTGTGCAACTTAATGACAATTTTACTTGTTATTAGCATTTACAATTTTTTATAAAACCCATCACAACCCTCAAAATTCAGCTTTTTGCCATTTTATAATAATTAAAAATATAAAAGATTTTTAATAATAAAATATCATAACAGATGCCACCACACATGGAGTTTTAAATGTTGCCAATTAAGTTAAGCAACTCATTGCTGGGTTTTTTCATAATGTTGATACTGTGAAAGATGACAAAGAAAACTTTCTATACACTTTGACATTTTTAGCACCACATTCTGACTTGCAAATAATTTCTACTTTTTTGTAAACTGAGAGGCATTTTCTTTTCTTTATACACATCTTTCTTATAGAAGGGTTTGTTTCTAACTAAAGTATACAGTAATTTTACGATCATAGTGGTGATTAGGTAAATTGGCAGAATAGGGCAGAAGCTGGTCAACAAAGAGAGGAACGATCTCCACAAAAAAAGTTAAGTGATAAATAAGCTTGTAATCCATGCAGGTCATAAAACTANATTTTTAATAATAAAATATCATAACAGATGCCACCACACATGGAGTTTTAAATGTTGCCAATTAAGTTAAGCAACTCATTGCTGGGTTTTTTCATAATGTTGATACTGTGAAAGATGACAAAGAAAACTTTCTATACACTTTGACATTTTTAGCACCACATTCTGACTTGCAAATAATTTCTACTTTTTTGTAAACTGAGAGGCATTTTCTTTTCTTTATACACATCTTTCTTATAGAAGGGTTTGTTTCTAACTAAAGTATACAGTAATTTTACGATCATAGTGGTGATTAGGTAAATTGGCAGAATAGGGCAGAAGCTGGTCAACAAAGAGAGGAACGATCTCCACAAAAAAAGTTAAGTGATAAATAAGCTTGTAATCCATGCAGGTCATAAAACTAAATAACCCTTTCTGTTTTATCTTTTTTCCAAGAATTTCTTACTACTTGAACAATTAAGAATGTTTGTGTGTTTGCCTAGCTACTGAAAATCTGCTTGGTATATCTGCGAAGTACTCTTGTTATAATTGTGAGAAAATGAATGGAAATATGCATAAATTAAAATTCTTATGGCATTTTGCTTATTATAACTGTGAACTCATTACTGTATATCTGTGTTTGACTGTATTTGCTTATTAATAGCAATTAGTACAAGAAATTTTTTATTTTCACACAGTATGTCAGAGTAAGTTTTCTAGTTTAAGACAACAGTCATAGCAGCTGCTGTTGCTTGTCTGGCTAAAAATTAAAAAGTAAAATTTCATTTTATAGACAATGTTTGTTTTTCAAATTGACAAGAGGTGAAAACAAGCAACAGTAGATTGAGTTATGATTGTTTAGACTATGCATTACAAGAATATGTAATATAAGTAAATACAGTCAAACCTCAGTTTATGAACTTAATTCATTCTGAAAGGTGATCGGAAACCTATTTGTTCCAAACCGAAACAAATTTTCTTATAAGAAACATTGTAAAAGGGATTAATTCATTCCCGACCTACAAAACCTTTTCTTACGTTTTTGCTGTATATGCCTAAAGATGCAATATAATAATATATTATCTAAATAACCATCCTTGATGAACCTTTATGTTTGACTGGGTCCTTTTGTAGGCTAATTTGGTGCCTGTTAGACCCGCTATTTCCAGTCAATATATATGTTATTACAAAATGGGAAAGATAAATCTGACGATCTTGGAGCCCCGGGTGTGTACAGTGTTCAAGTGAGGGGTAACAGGTTCTGGGAGAGACTTGGTATACATCGGTTCCACCAAACTTTCAGTTCAACAAAGGGTCTGGGAGTACGACATTGACAACAAATGGCACACCACCGCCCTATCCACTTATGCCACTGACCCAGAAGTGCATGCTGACCTTCCTAGCACCAGGCTGATAAAAAGGGACTTTCACACCAACCACATCAGGGTCCTGCAGGTCCTAGAAATATATAAGGCTGGCTTGACAAGCAGCTGCATCAATTTTAAGGATGTTAACTCATTATCGTACGCCTGGCGTTACTTGTGTTTGAAATTTTGATTGCTAATGCACTTTGATTGTATATCATTTACTTTTATACTGGTCCCACAAATAATAGACATACGTGTTGCCCTATGTGTATATTTTGGATTTCATGCATTCCCGCCGACACTTAAATTTTGGTTGGTTGTTATGTTTCAAAAGTTTTTAAATTTAACATTTTAGAATCTGTTCTATTCCAACCATCAAATTTTGGAATTCGTTCTTACTCTAACCTGAAGCAGACCTTGAGTAAGGTCGAAAAGATTCATTGAACGATTTATTAAATAATTTTTGTTACCGAACATAAAGGTTCATCAAGGATGGGCTGATAATTAGTTGGAAGATAACTCGATATTATTTATATCTATTTTATATACTGTATATATATTAAAAGCAAAATGTTCTATTACTATCATGAGGATGTATGTTTGTTTGTTTGCTATACACTCCTATGCTGTTGACCAATTGCTATGAAGCTCTGTAGTTATGTTCAAATACTTCTAATTTAAATAATGACATTCACACACCTTAAAATATTGATTGCATTTATATAAATCAATTAATTTTTATTTACATTTGATTTTCTGAGTTATGTATAGCATCATCTATTGGCAAAAAAGTTAATTAAATATATTCTTACAATAAAAGGATATAATTGTAAAATATATATATTATATCACTGAATTACTGTGACAGGTAGCATGTAGCATTTGGCTGTGTGGAGTGTAGTAGTGTTTTGCCTCTGTACATCATACTTTTCCTGTTAGCAATAGAGTTGTTCCAATTATGTGTGTAACTCTGTTCAGGGGAATTTTCATACTGAAATAGCATTACTTATGGTACAAATTGGAAGTTCATATGTGGTTAATTTGGTTTTCTTTCTCTTATGATTTCCATGTTTGGTCCTGACTCATCTGTCTAACTCTGTTTTTAAGGTTTCTAACCTTTGTAGAGACGGTTAGTCAGATATGGCTCTATCACGATGTAGTGGAGAATAAACGTGGGAAATTTTTTAAGAATTTTCCCACGCATTTTTCTTGTTTCCATTTCGGAAAAAAAATTTTTAAACAGTTATGTCTAGTAAAGAAAAAGTTTACTTTATTGTCACATAATTCCTTTTTTGTGTGAATTTTTTTCATGGTAATTTTTGGCGATATTCGCAAAAAAATTTTGTGGATATAGATGTCGTTCTGCAGTGCCATGTGATCACCCTTGATGGGTATATCCATTGATCATTGCAGAGTGGTTAAGGATGGTCAGAGATGGACATACGACTGGGAATTTATAGGTCTACAGTTTTTCCAAATTACAGCCCAATAAGTATACTCCAGTAACTGAGTGGATAAAACCACCAAACACCATTAGTTGGTCGTGGATTGGTATGTGGCCAACAGACTGGCCAAATGGAGTTTTCTAGGTTTTCTTTGCATTAGTAACACTTCAATCACAACTCTACATAAACATCTTTCCAATATGGCTCCTTGGCAGATCACTTGTGTCATGTTGTCATAACCAAATAAACCAAACTAATTCTAATGAGCGATCATTTATTGTAACGTCATCATAATGCCAGGCTGCAACTTTTTGCCTCAATGTTCTCAATTTTTTTAATGATAATTTTGTCCCTGTACGTCATACTTTTCCTGTTAGCAAGGAAGTCATGTCAGTCATATATCTAACTCCGTTCGGGGAAAAATTTTGAATCAAAGTAATGTTACTTCCATTCTAAACTAGAAGTTTGTATATAGTTAATCTGGGCCTCTTATCCTAAGCTTTCCATGTCTGTCGTAAGCTTTCATCTATCTTAAGGCTGTTATACACGGTAAGGAAATCCTTTGAGGATTAACCGTGATTTTTTTTCTATCTATCCATTTTTAAATAAAAATAATTCGTTATACGTTGGGAGATATTTTAATAAGTTTTGTAAATTACTATGTTTGATCCAGCCAGTTATATCCGAGTTTTTTTCGTCTGTTAAGCACATCCTTTGAGGATTTCCTTACCGTGTATAACAGCCTTAACTCCTTTCTCAAGATTAATTAAGGAAGGACAGAATAGATAGGTGATGTCAGTGGGAATATATAGGTCTACAATTTTTTTCAAATTGCAGCCAAATAATTTTTCATAAACGCAATATTTATGAGAACACACTTTTCAAGTGTATTTTCTGAAGAAATAGTTTGTATATTAATATGGAATTTTTTAAGTTTATAACTACAGAATGATTAAATGAAAGCAGAACTTCACAATGTTGTAAACTGTTTGTAGCATTGCCAAACTCTTTAAGCTATTGCTTCTGGGTTTTATTTCTTCTTGATAACCCATTATTTTTACAGTTATTTAAAATTATGTCAAATAAAAACAATGGTTAAAAGTTTTTTTCTTGTTTAGTTATGTTGAGCGTGAAGAAACCATGGTGTTGAACAGTTTATTAGATGGTTACGATCAAGGAGATGCTGAACAAATGTATTATGCTTTAAATCATCCTTTCATTAAACATATGGATGTTGAGGTAAATTTTATAAACATAAGTTTATTACATAAATAAATCTTAATTTGAATATATTCAGTAAAGAGATTGCATTTGATGTAAATAATAGAACCTTCTTTAATTGTACAGTACTAAATTTATAACTTGAGAGTAAAAATTACATATTTGGGAACTGTAATATATATATTTTGATGGTTTTATTTTACTAATTAGTATGCAAAGCTTGCTCGTTGTCTTCAGGCAAGTTGCATGAGTAATCAGTCGACCACCAAAGCACAGGACAGTGCCGTCACAGAAGTTGGTGGATCACAAGACGACCGACATTCGGATGAAGAATTTTCTGGAGGATTACTGTAAATTCTTAAAACTGTAAACATCTTCACTTCATTCTAATAATATTGACTAATATATATTTGACCTGAAGTATTCTACTTAGTGAATCGATCGTCTTACGATTAACTTATCAAAAATGCATACAGTACGACAATACTTTTATAATGTATTCCTACTGAGTTTGTCAAAATGACTTTCTGACAAATTTCTATGATTGAGAGGCAATCAAGATTCCATTTTAACAAAATTGTTTTATGTTACATAGCTCTCTATTTGTTGTTTATATAATTATTATTGCAACATTTTTGTTGCTTTGTATGATTATTGTATATTATATAGAGAAGTAAATGTATTAAATTAAAGTTATTTATTAAATATAAAAAAATTATTGTACTAAATGAATTGTATGTTTTATGCAGGTCATTTTATCAATTTTTAGGAATGATATTATTTTCCAAATTAGTTCTGACATTAGATATTGTTCATTGTAAAGAAATTGAGAGATGTATTTATCTTAAATAAATAGTAATTATTGTTGAAGAAAAATTCTGTGAGCAGTTAGTTCTGTTATGCACAGTCCCAATAGAGGGTTCTTGCACAATTAGGAAATATCCTGTTTTGAATTTGGTCTGGATTTTCACTGATACTTTGAGCCATACTTCATTTATTTTTATCCAAATAAATATATTTAACTCTTGTAAAACTATTTTTATTGGTTTTGTTAAAAGAGTTAAATATATATATTTGAAATACAAGTCTAAGAGGAATAATTTTTAATGTATTGTTCTATACTTTACATAAAAATGTTAGTTTTGCCACACAATGTAAATCCAGTTTGGAACAATTTTGCATCACTCAAAGGGTAGTTTTGTCCAACTTGGAGCAGCAATTGAAAGAATTCTTAGCAATTTTCCAGTCACAATTATTATTCAAGTGATATGTAATCGTGTGAAACTGTAAGAGAAATCTTGTTGACAATATGAAAAATGAGAATCTGTTCTTAGATGGAATGTATTGTGCTCTGTAAATGCATGATGCAGAGTAAACTTTAGGATGTACAAAAAAACTAAGAAGGGTTGGTTACAACATGGTTGTCAGATTTCGATAATATTGTGCGTGACAAGCCTTGGTATGAATATTAAGTATAGGAATGAAGCACATTTCTCAAACATTTTAAAGAAAATTAAAGTTAAAAATTTCCGAGACTTATGCACAAGTTTTGCAGAACATATCATCAAAGACTGTGTGGTTCAGTGGGAGTGCCTTATATTTGTGAGCTTTCTGGTTTATTTTCACAAGCAAGATTTTTTCAAATCAATGCAATTTTTACATAAAATAATTGTAATTTACACAGATTTATACAGTAGCTATTTATTTTCTACTAAGAACGTGCATTTTTCACTTTTAGACAATTCATTTTCAAAATTGCTATGTTAAAAATAATGCTTATTTTTAAAACGCAAATAATTATTTTGTAGTTTATGATTTTATTATTATTATTAAGTTATAACTTTATGTCTACTATCCGCTTGCTTTTTTAGTCATACATTGTTTATATCATACAGTATGATATAAACAATAAGAAACTTAAGAAGTGACATTGAATGGTGATTGTTTACCATCACATGTAACAATTCAATATGATACAGAGCTTTAGTAACAACTAATAACTTTTTGAATTTATGTAATTGCTTAAAAAGCCCAATTGTTTGATATTCCTCCTAAATATATCATAAAATATTTCAAATTTATTTTTAACAGAAGCAATTCTAAAATGGAAATTTCAAAGGATGAAAAATGCATGTTTTTAATAGAAAATAAATAGCTACTGTATAAATCCACGTAAATTACTCTTCCACATGAAATAGTTTACAAACAGTGTACTCTTTCTTAACTCTTACTTTATCGCTCGGCAGATTCATTGCCATTATCTAGATACAGCTACAGTACCACCATTTATTTGTACTGTTGTATTTAAGCATATTTAAACACGAATTATTGAACGCCAATTATATTATGTAAATGCCAATTAACGCGGTTTTTATTTATTAATCTGATTTAAATTTGACTGGGCGTACCGAAAAACAAATATCATCTTTCCGGCATGTGCATCGAAATGTAATTCAAATAGCAACGTCTTCGATGATTCGTTACATGACGCGATGAGATCTTGGCGCTACTAACTACCAAACCTGTCGATCGGACTTTCTTTGTCACAGGAAATATAGAGAGAGGGCTTGTTCGGTAACCGGAGCAAATATGATGTTCAAAGTTGTGTTCATAACCCGAGGTTTGACTGTACAATTATATTATTTCTTATTAACACAAAATATCACACTTATTTTTTTTACTTTGTATTTTTAATTAATCACACACAATTTTTGTTTATATTTTTTTATTTTACTTGTATAGTAACATAATTATGTTGTAAGTTTTTTTATATTGTAAACCTTCATATTTTTAGTTTTCTTTGATATTCAATGTTGATCCATTCTCTGATGATTTGTGAAATAAGTTGAAAACATTAATGAAAATTTAAAGTTCTTTGGTAGATGACAGTTTATTCTATTAATTAGTTACAATTGAGATAGTTTCCTAGCATTTTTATTGGCCACTGTTACTTATAGACTTATTAACTTCTCTTGTGAAAAAAATGAATTTTTGTGGTTACAAAAAATTCAATTATGTGTGATAATAATTGCACATAATTTACATCCTCATGTAATTAAAGTCAAGTTGCAATCTGTTACAATATCAAATATTCTAACAACAACAAATTTCTTATCTTCTACATACTGAAAAATGTGTTTTTACATGACAGAAGTAAATTCAGCAGCTGTTTGGAAGGATGCAGGGGTCTTCCATGGCATTTGGTTATGGTCGGCCCTGCAATTTTCTCTCTTGGGAAATATAGTAGGAATTGAATTCTGTCTTAGTGTTGGTTGTAAACGCTTCTTCGTATATTTACCCTGTTAATAATTTCATCGTATGTTCTTATAATGTAACAACTATCGAAAAAACAACTCAACTAAAGGTAAGACTGCAGATGTGAATGACGCTGTTGGGATCTTAACAGAGATGTAGAGCATGTCCATAGGAGCCATACCGCTAAATGTGGCCTTCGCGAGATACTGTATAGCCCTCCGAAATAAGCCTAAAGCCTACTTCCAGGCGCTATGGGTAGTCACTCTGCGCGCTCTCCTAAGCTTATTACGTGTTTAACAGACAGTACAACACAGCCATCAGACATTCTGATCATATCTATCGGCAATGAATAAAGAAAAGTCCGACACCCGACCCTTCGTGAGATATTTGCCTCCAAATGTGATATCATCGGCGTCAATAACGTCGCCATCTTGCTTGCAGATGTCATGCAAGTAAGTTAAATGCATTAAGTTTTACTGGCCGAAAACAGTTTTTCTCGTGTACTAGTACTAGTACCTATTCTCCATGCTCCGAGCCAAAGCTCAGTATCGCGCACCTTGACTGACGCTCCGCACGTGGTCGTGCGCTTAGGTGCAGAGCCCGATTTGTGCCAATCGGGCCCCGCGGCACATCAAAATTTATATATTTAAAAATAGTACATGATACAAAAATAAATATCTAGGTATATTATTATTAAAAATATAACAACATATTTCAATATGTAAATTAACTGTTAATTAATTTTGTTATTTAAAGTTTGAGGGGCCCCGCAAAAAAAAAAAAAATCAATCGGCCTCGCACCTATTGGATCCGGCGTTGCTTAGATGCGAGCACCTAAACGTCCGGGTGAAGACTCGACTCACCCCCCCTAAAATTATATACAGTACCATCAAGTACTCCACGAACAGTCAAGTGGGCTACTCGAAGCCAGCAAAGTAGCATGGACTAAATAGTTAAAAGCAATTTTTTTAGCGGTGCGACTCGTGATTTCGGGGTGCTATATCTCGCGAAGGGTCACATTTAGAAGTGTGGTTCCTTTGACGTTTTTGATCCTATAAACATGCTCTATAATTCTGCTGCGGTCCTAACAGCGTCTTTCACATTTGCAATTGTATCCGAAGGAGTTCTTGGTGATTTCGAAGTCTCTTGGTATATTCCTTCTGCACGCATTTTGTAATTCCGGATCTCTTGGAAACGAAAACATAGCGCGTTTTTCTTTACAAGAGGCATAGCCAGTTTTACATCCCGGAACACGGCACTTAGAAGGCATTATTACATCAAAACCAAACGATTTGCGAGCAATTATTTATTGTGACATGGTAACAATGCCGAACTGCAATTTTTAATCATATTTTCAATTTATTTTATTTAAAAGATATGCTCTCCACCTCAAATTAGTACTGTAGTGTCTTTCCCCTGTACAGTATCCTTTTCCTTTAACAATAGAGTCGTGCTGGTCATCTATTAACTGTTTCCATATCTGGTCTCGTCTTTCATCTATATTATGTAATTGCGTTCTCGAGGTTAAGGAAAGACTGACGACAGTGGGTATTTATACGTCTACAATTTTTTCAAATTTAATTTGAAAAAAATTGAACTAATTAATAAATGGGATTCTTTTATTGAACTCTCGATAAACATTGCGATACAAAAAATCTAAGTGACTCGTATAACATGGAATTCATATAAAACGGAATAATCAACAGTGTTATAGGTGGGTCGACTGGTATAGTAGTACTGTTTTTATTATTATTATTTCTGAGCTACTTATTATAAGTAACCTTACTGCTATCAGGACCTGTTGCTAGGATAAATCATTTATTTATCGAATAATTATATATATATTACAGACCAAAAAACGATATGATATACTTATATACACTTTTTTTTTACTCTTTTCGCCCTGTGGGCACTAAGAGGGCCTCTTTTAGCAAGCCCGCAATGGGGCGACCGGATGGTGAGGGACGGAGCTCGAGACATAAATTTATTTAAATATTTACGTATTAAAGCTCTTAGGTACTGTGCGTAAACAGCCGTTGAAACCTAGCAAAAAAGGCGATCTGGGCGCCATCAGCGGGAGTGAAAGGCGTTAGTAAAATTTTAACACGGCTTGGGGGTTGCGCGACCTTACGTTATAGTAATCGTGGCCGCACTGCGGAATAAACGAACGCGCCCATGTAAATAACCGGATAATTTCGTTTCCCAATTAATTAACGCAATGATATAATTTTAATATTAATTACGTACGAGAAAACGTTTTAATCGACGGCAATCTTTTAATTGCAAAACGTAATTAAAACGCATCGGGAACCAGATTAGGCGACGGAAGGTAACCTCGAAGAAGGATTTCGCGTCGTCGACGTCGGAAGTTTTTCGCATGGAGTAGTGAAACGATCTCCATCTAATTTCATCCGGATTCTTATTAATCGTTTTATCGAGAATAAATTAGGAAAATGTTGGGAAGAAGCTGGATATTGTTACTACTAATTTTGCCTTGGACGTTTCTACTCGGACGAGGAGGTAAGCAAATGTGGGAAAATACATCGACGTGGCAATGATCCCGTCCTTCTTATCCGGCATATTTCTTCGCTAAAGCCTCGGTTACGTCTATAATTTACTTAATTATCCTCACCTTCGCCAAAATAAAGCGACCAGCGCCGGTTTGCCGGCTCCTCGTTCGTAATCGTGGCCACAGCTGTTGGCAGATTCCACGTTTTTCCTACGGACGAGTCGGAAAATGCTTACGTCGTTGCTGCTTTTCCCGGATACTAACGTCCAAGAGCGGTAATGTTAGTCTGTGGCCTCCTCCGTCTGCCTGCGGCATTTCTACGGTGTAATGATCGTCTTGTCGAATACCGTGTGAATATTTGTCAGAAGATATGCCGTTCTAGGAATGTGCGTAGCTTCATGCAGACTAGAAACTCGACATGATTCGAGAGCGTGCGAAATATAAAATTTCGTGTGTAGAGATCTGTTCCTCCGGAGTTTCTCCGCCCTCTTCGGCCACGTGCGGCGGCGGTCTCAAGTTGCCGTCTTCCCGCTTGGCGCGTTGAAAATTCTACGACCCTTGGACGGTGGGGCTGCCTTTCTGCACCCGTCCGGCTCGGACTACCCGCGAAATTTCGGTTTGCCGCTCGGATGAGAATTCTGCCGCCGCCGACCGACGGTTTTGCGGCATCGGTCATTTGGTGCGACGTTGATTTTTTTTTTTTTTTCTGTTTGCAAATGCCATTTTATAATGAGATAAAAATTGCGAGGGTGTTACGAAAACTTAACTTGTCTTTGCATGTTCGAAGACAGAATGATACTTTTATAAATGTCTCGTTTGTAAGTTCTCGAGTTGTTTAATAATGTGTATTTTTCTAGTTATACGATATTTGTGTTTCTCCAATAACTAGTTATGTATTTATTTGGATATAATAATTTTTTATGACTTCTTTTACAATTTAATTTTTCAAACGGAGATAGCTCATCCAAATATATTTAATATAAAATGTACTCTTACAAATAAATGGCAGTTGGTGTACATATGTGGCTATTAAATAATTTATGGGCGTTTGGTCTCGTTGCGTGGTTATGCGTCGTCGTCGGGTAGGTTATCTCTGTTGCCATAATGCTTTTATTTTCTCATTACTTGCAACAATCTCGTCGTCGACGAGCGTTAAGTCGGAACAATTTAAAATTGGAAAACTTTTCTTTATAAATGTCAATTAATTCTTACTTTTATACTAAAAATATGAAAATTGCACGTTGATTCTGTATTAAACTTCTACAATTAGTGTACTGCAAGAAAATTCTTGGGTGACGTTAATGCGGACATTCTATATGTTATGTACATACACTTGGCAAGAACTAAACAATGAATATTTTTAAAATTTATTTGTAAGGTGAAGTTTATTAGGCTGAGATTAGAAAATTCTGAAAAGATTTGTAAAAATGTATCGTATAACTTTAACATTATCTAAATTATATTAAGATTTATCCTTATCTCGATGGATATCGGTTTGTTATAAACACTGATTATGGTAAATAAATCAATGCGATGTCGGCAGACTAGTTTGGATAATTTCTTTGCAAAACTGATCAGAAAATTGTAATGATAAGTTGTGAGTTATAAATTGTCTTCCTTAACATTGCTTTAACCAAAATACATGTTTTCTAAACGTTGATCTTATTTATAAAATCTCTTAATTTTTCAATTGGACAGTTTTCTTCTAAAAATTTACTTCATTACAAATAAAATATTTTATTTCTTTTTGCTTTGTTACACACACATTTAAATTTTTCTTTATACTTTCTCAAACATTTGAGCTTTATTTAAATCAGTGTTTTTCAACCTGTGGGTCGTGACCCCCAGGGGGGTCGTGAAGCCTTACACGGGGGGGTCGCGGGTAAAAGAAAAAAACAAGTGTTTGTAGGTCCTACACTACATTAAAAAAACTACAATTTCAGCGAGAAGGCTGTACCTGTTTATTATACAGTACAGTTGGTTTTTTGATTGACATTTAGGTCCGAATGATGGGTGTCGCCTGGGAGGGGTCTGGATGGGTACGGCCCACCCCAGAAAATGATTGCTGAAAAAGTGTTGAGCTGACTTGTAAAAAGAAGTAATAAACAGGTCAACAGCACGCCGAACCCATTGTTATTATAAGAAGGAAGTAACATACTGTACGTGTCTTAAGTTATTGTCGATTCTCCTTAAATTCTCATTTTAGTCAACAGTAATTTCTCTCAACAGAAAGAAAATTAAATACATAATTTTTTAAATCACTGATATAGTTTTAATATGGCCCTAGGGGGGTCGCCAGAATTTTTTAACTTGTAAAGGGGTCACGTATTCAAAAAGGTTGAAAAACACTGATTTAAATGATTAAATAATGGAATTTTGTATGCTTAAATATCAAATCTTTAATGTAATTTATATTAAATTTTATTATGCAAACTATTTTTTTTAAATGTGTGCATGATGTATTTCCAAACTCAACTGAAATGAAATATCCAATGCTCTGTTTTGTAATTTTGAATCACATTATGAGTGACAATTAAAATGTTATTTATTTTCTTAATTTTCAGCATTTGAGAGGTGTTGCATTAGTAAAAAGAAAAAAATGCAATAAATTTATATTTTTTATTAGGTCGCGGTGCGCCGGGTTTTGCTTTAGCGGACGACGTGGACGTGGCCGAAGGAGAAGACGAGGAGGAAATTCAAGTGGAAAACGAACCGGAAACTACTCCCGAAACCGAAGATTCTGTGATATCTACGGGTGTAAGTTTTTTCATATATTAGTTAAAATTTATATCTTTATCAAAGAAATATTTAAAAACTTGTGGAAATGTTGACACAAATTTTTCCACATAAAATATACAAAGCCATCCTCTTACAACTCCTTTTCAAAGGTTTAGAAACTTTGTCATTAAAAGTATGATATTGATATTTACAAGCAAAATACTATTTATACAGAAATCTAACTTTCTATATGTATAAATAGTATTTCTCTTGTAAATAGCATATAAATGTCTTTTAGTGGTTGTAGATTATTTTATATTATAATTTAAAGTTATNTTTTTGTTAAAAAATTAACATTGTGATCAGTGCTACTCAAACCACTACTACCAGTAAGACGACTGACTTTTTTTTTCTTTTCATTTCTATTACTATATTAATAAGTTGCAGGAGGGATGCTCTGTACTCTATACTACAGCATTATTTATCAAATACCACTATATATTAAATTTATCTTAAATACTCAAGGTTTCTTCTCTTATTTGTCTTTTGGGAAAAAACCTTGAAGTTTTTGAAGTTATAATAAACACTTCATTGTGATGTGAAGTAAAAGAGGGAATTGTCACTAATAGAAAAATAAACTTAAATAATTTTTGATACACTTATCATATTATAAATGAACGCAAATGAATTAATTATATGGAAAATAGAAATATATTATAATTAACTATTTCCTATTGTAAAAAACCTGGCAAATAATTCGTTCGATTTAAACTTACATTTTTTAAAAATTAATCGAAATTTCGTTATTCTTTGCTGCAAATAAAATACCTCTTACATTATTCTCAGTGAATTCCAGTATATAAATCTTTTTATATATTGGGTACGAATACTCCCAACTTATAATCTATTTGGAGCGTATTTGTTATCATTAACTATATCAAGTGTTGAAAGCTACTTATTATACTCGTAACGATTGTTTAAATTAACAGAAAAAAAGAATTACTTTAATAATTTTTATATAAAATCAGACTTACATAAATAGGTCAAACTGTAGTTGTAAAAGTAACGTTTAGATATAAATTATTCAATGTTTTTAAATCAGATAAATGAGCGGTTTCTTGCGAAAAATAAATTATATATAATACAAAATTTTAATTATTTTAAAAACTCTATTTTGCCATTCCATCTGTTCTTAATCTAATTTATTCGTTGAACCTTACAAATAATTCTCTAAGTGAAAAATAAAATTTGGTTTCTTGCCATGATCACTAGAATGATATGTTACTTGATAAAAGCGCAATAAATCTGCATGAAAAAAACAATTAACGCCTACGAGCGATGCTTTGTGTTCTATCTTTCTGTATTGATGCAATATTGCATTCTACAGTCTACTCGAAAAAATTGAATAGTAATATAAAAGTTATCTACGTCATTTCCTGTCTCAAATTTTTGCCCCTTAAAATGTGAAATCTCTAAAGAGATGATTCGAACAATGAAAATATACTACTAAATAAATGAATTTACTTTGCATTCTTCAATATAACTTAAAATTATTAGTGAAGATTATTTAAACTTCAGATATTTAAGGTTTGTGAGAAATAAATATGTTTATATGAAAAATATTTTTACAATACAAAGTATTTAAAAATATTATATTAATTAACACGTGTAATTAACGATATTTAAATTTTCCTACGTGTACTTTTAAAAAGTATTTTTTTAGAACAATTAACCTTAATCCAACACGCACATTTCAAAAAGAACTCTGACGTAATATGCGAATATTATATTTTCTTCTCTTATCGTAGAATTATTCGTGTTTCGAATAAATAAACCCTTTCAACAAACTTATATCAACACAATGATATTAGTATTTTTTTAAAGTATATGTATTATATCATAGAATTATATATTTACTTAATGAGATATGAAAGTATGTCATTTTATTGAGTGTTATTAAGTTTTACGTTAATATTTGTTTTTTGTATGACGTCAAATATACAATGTTAAATAAAGAGAAAAATAAACTTAATAATTACATTTTGCATAATATAAATAAATGCAAATAAAACACACATCGAATACACATTACACTGCGTGTTTGAGAAAAAATTACTTTTCCTAAATCCCTTTAATTTATCTTAAAAATCTATAAATAAACTGGCTATCAATATACACTGTAAATTTCAAAAAATGTTTACACAAAAAGTTATGCTATAATCAGAAAATTACAAAATGAATAATATAAAATATGCGTATATCTTATATAAAATATAATGATGTTATTATAAAATTGTAGTTTTGCTTGCGAAGATTACACCGTGAACAGAAAATTTTAATAATTATTTATATTAAAAAATGTCAGTTATTAACAAGAAAAAACTAATAATTTTCACTAGATACATATAAGATAAAGATTCACGGTTTATTACATCTTGACAAAACTTCAAGGTTTACTGAACACTAATAACTAGCTAGACCTCTACACTTTAAACTAAACATTATATAATATCTGATATATGCTCTGATATATTTGATGAGTTGTATTAAATACGCAGTATTTAATACTATCCATCAAATATATCAGATTTGTTGAGGATGGAGAGAAAAGAAAAAACCAAACCATTCGATTAAGTGGGTGTTTTTTCTTGTATATTTTTCTGGTATGTATTATTATATTCATTCGTTAATAATTGACGTTTTCTAATATAAATAACTATCAACATTTTATGTTCGCGGTGTAATCTTCGCAAGGAAAACTACAATTTTTTATAATAATAATATTATATTTTACAATATAGAATATATGCGGATTTTATATTATTGTTTTTTATAATTTTCTGATTATAGCATAACTTTCTGTGTAACTATTTTTTGAAATTTACAGTGTATATTGATAGCCAGTTTATTTATAGATTCTTAAGATAAATAAAAAGGGATTTACAAAAAGTAATTTTCTCTCAAACACGCAGTATACTGGGTATTCGATGTGTGTTTTATTTGCATTTATTTATATTATGCAAAATGTAATTATCAAGTTTATTCTTTTCTTTATTCAACATTGTATATTTGACGCCATATAAAAACAAATTTTTACCTATATCTTAATAGCCCTCAGTAAAATGACACAGTTTTATATCTCATTAAGTAAATATTTAATTCTACGATATAATGCATATACTTAAAAAAATACTGATATCCTTGTGTTGATATATGTTTGTTTAAATGATTTATTTATTACTAAACACGAATAATTTTACGATAAGAAAAAAAAATTTAATATTCGTATTTTATGGTACAGGTCTTCCTGTAATGTACTGTACGTGTTGAATTTGTTCGGAAAAGAATTCACGTAATGAAAGTATTCGTTCCATAATTTCAATATCATTCATAACACGTAACAATTAATATGCTATTTTTTAAATATTTTGTATTGAGAGAATATTTGTCATATAAACATATTTATTTTTCACAAACCTTAAATATCTGAACTTTAAATATATTAAACTTCAGTAATAATTTTACATTATATTGAAGAATAAAAGTAAATTTATTTATTTGGTAATTTATTTTTATTGTTCAAAAATTTATACTCTCTTCGTTTCATACTACGTTTCTTTTCTTTCTCTGTATATAGAGAGAATACGTTTTTCAAAAAAAAAAATTTGAGACATATAATGACACAGGTAACTTTTATTTTAATATTTAACTTTTCTACGAGTAGATTGTAGAATACAATATTGCATCAAACCATAAAGATAGAAGAGACAAAAATTGCATACTAAAGAGCGTTAAATTTGCTTAATACAGATTATTCGAGTATATATCAAGTAAAGTACTATGGCATAAGACGAAAAGTGAAATTTCATTTAAATGCTTTAAAAATCAATTATCAAGTTTCAACTAACTCTCTCTTGACCTCCAATTCGAAAGCCGATTAAGTAGTAAACTAGTGAACTGCGTGCCCCTCTCAAGCAAACTTCCATGGCATTAGGTTCTTGTCTATTCATGTCTTTTACACAAATTAGTTACTTAAGCAGAAAATGGCTACATATAATTTTTTTATCATTAAAATCACCTTTCTTATAAAATTAATTTTACAAGAAAACAGCTATTCTANATACATTTTTCGGAGAAGAAATTTGAGAAATATAATGACACAAGTAACTTTTATTTTAATATTTAACTTTTCTACGAGTAGATTGTAGAATAGAATATTGCATAAATACAGAAAGATAGAAGAGAAAACATCGCATGCAAAATAGCGTTAATTTTGCTTAATACAGACTATTTGACTGTATATCAAGTAAACTGTCATCCTATGTCATAAGACAAAAGGTGAAAATTTCTTAAAATGCTTTAGAAATCAATTATCAAGTTCCAACTAACTTTCTCTCTCTTGACCTCCAGTTCGAAAAAGCCGATTAAGTAGTAAGCTAGTGAACTGCGTGCCACTCTCAAGCAAACTTCCATGGCATTAGGCTCTTGTCTATTCATGTCTTTAACACGAATTAGTTACTTAAGCAGAAAATGGCTACATATCATTTTTTTAATCATTTAAATTACCTTTCTTATAGAATTAATTTCACAAGAAAACAGCTATTTTAACTAATATTAGAAACATTGAATTACTTTTATATAAACAATACTTTTACAACTACAGTTTGACCTATTTAAGTAAATCATATATTATAGTAATTTCTAATACATTGTATACGTTAGCAATGTTCGTTCTAATGTATTTCCATTTTGTAATAAACAAAGTTGTCTAATATAATACATAAATGCAAAGTTTATAAAATTATTTCCCTTTTAGGTAAACAATCATCGTAGCTTTAGTAAATGGTTTTAAAAAATTTCATATAGTTAATTATAATCAAGTCGTTTCCAATAAATTATTCATATGGTATATATACCCAGTGCACTGAAAAATTTATGAAATTCACTGAATAAAAATTTAACTTCAAATCGAAGTGACTCGTTTCCAGGTTTTTGAAATACGAAAAATAATTAATTTACATGTATTTATTAATCTTCAT